TGAGCTTGGGGCTCCATGCATGATCTCACCTCGTTGAGTTGCAATGATCATGAGAACGGTGAGGAATCAGCCCAAAACTACACGGGAGGATCTTGTCAATGATCTCAAGGCAGCTGGGACCATAGTCACCAAGAAAACAATTGGTAATACACTACGCCGTGAAAGACTGAAATCCTGTAGCGCCCGCAAGGTCCCCCTGCTCAAGAAAGCACATATACATGCCCGTCTGAAGTTTGCCAATGAACATCTGAATGATTCAGAGGACAACTTCGTGAAAGTGTTGCGGTCAGATGAGACCAAAATGGAGCTCTTTGGCATCAACTCAACTCGCCGTGTTTGGAGGAGGAGGAATGCTGCCTATGACCCCAAGAACACCATCCCCACCGTCAAACATGGAGGTGGAAACATGCTTTAGGGGTGTTTTTCTGCTAAGGGGACAGGACAACTTCACCGCATCAAAGGGACGATGGACGGGGTCATGTACCATCAAATCTTGGGTGAGAACCTCCTTCCCTCAGCCAGGCCATTGAAAATGGGTCGTGGATGGGTATTCCAGCATGACAATGACCCAAAACACACGGCCAGGGCAACAAAGGAGTGGCTCAAGAAGAAGCACATTAAGGTCCTGTAGTGGCCTAACCAGCCTCCAGACCTTGATCCCATAGAAAATCTGTGGAGGGAGCTGAAGGTTCGAGTTGCCAAACGTCAGCCTCGAAACCTTAATGACTTGGAGAAGATATGCAAAGAGTAGTAGGACAAAATCCCTCCTGAGATGTGTGCAAACCTGGTGGCCAACTACAAGAAACGTCTGACCTCTGTGATTGCCAACAAGGGTTTTGCCACCAAGTACTAAGTCATGTTTTGCAGAGGGGTCAAATACTTATTTCCCTCATTAAAATGCAAATCAATTTATAACATTTTTGACATGCGTTTATCTGGATTTTGTTGTTATTCTGTCTCTCACTGTTCAAATAAACCTACCATTAACATTATAGACTGATCATTTCTTTGTCAGTGGGCAAACGTACAAAATCAGCAGGGGATCAAATACTTTTTTCCCCTCATTGTATAGACTGTAATAATTATAAAACGCTATAAACGCCTTGTGTTAGAGTCCAGTATGTGCCGTCATACTTTGTATGTAATCTACAGGATAAACAACGTGCGGGTCTGGTGACGTCGGTCAAGTCAAGGTTTGTTTCATGTTGGTGCATAATCGTGGTTATGTGTTACAATGCACGACACGCACATCCAAATAGATATGCATATATGTAACGACACAGCTCCGCTTTGTGTTGTTACATACATCAAAATGTGTTTCAGACCGAGGCTCTCCACATCACGCTTTTCCAGCAGCATTTGTTCAACGCAATGACACTCTGCATCGTTTTCGAACTTGTGTGAAGCTTGTTAAAACAAATGCTGTTGGGTGACCAGATGATTTTACCCCGGGTTTCGCCGGGGATGCATTCCGGAAATGTGTGACGACGAATATCGAAACGACGTCAATCGGAGAAGCGAGTTACCGGATGGTGGCAGGTGGTGGTGGTGGCGAAGGCTGAAACGCGACGGATACGAGAAAGGAAGGCCGATGATGTCAGCGATGTGAGTGTGGGGGTTGAGGCGATGCAATCCAGGTAGTAGCGGTGTTAATAAAGTGACGACGTATGTGCGAAACGACTTAAGAAAAGGGGAGACGTAAATGTCGTGGTACGACTGTATTGGCCAGAGCACTCCGAACAAACTATCGGGTCTTGTTCAATGCACAACGAAATTGTATACATATCCCACTTCTGCTTTGTTGGATAATGCGGAGACATCAGCGAAGTTCCGCTCGTGTTTCCTTTAACATGCAATGTTGTTCCACAGCAACGCGTTGTGATTTTGTTTAAAGTCGAAACCGTGGATGTGTAAACTGTCGTAAGCGGTACACACACTAGGTAACCGCCACCCCCAGGCTGGTGTGTAGAGAGGTTTTCCAAGTTCGGGCTCCCATAGCCAACACTGCATCGAGGCTCGCGCTAGTGTTTGACTCATACCCGGTATTGTATGACACATAATGGTATTGTATAACTCTGAAATGTAAACTCCATTCCATGTAATGATAGTAAAATGTGTTTTGTCAGCTTCCACCCCTCCCCCCACCCCAATTCTATCCCGACTGTGTTGTCTGAGTCGTCACGTGGTGAGACGAGCGAGGCCTTTTCGGATTTCTCGCTGAGCAGCGCGATCCTGCTGCGTGTCAGAGAACGGCCCGCGGAAGCGGATATCACAGAGCTACGTCTGAGGTTCCTCCGAGTGTTCTCTGGAATTATTACCTTGACAGTATCACTCTGAGCCATATGTGTGCACGGGATTGGTAAATGAATACACGTCGTGCCAAACACGGCGCGCACGTTCGCGTACATGCGCTGTCTATAAATACAAGTTATGCAACTAAACAACATTGGCGCTCTGGACGCATCTTCGTCGACACTCTCTATATAAAATGGACCACTGTGGAATAATTAATCAGGGTAATTGACTATGCAGGCATACCTTAATCCAGACTATAATAATAATGTCGGCCTATCCAGGCCGTGTGGCAGACACTGTCAGTGTCTCCATCACATGGCAGTACACGTATACGTGAATGTATACTAATCCACTGCTGGATGAAGACTTTCCCTTGCCATCTTGATCACGGATCTGTGGTTTACTAAACGCGTAGGTCAGTGTACGATTGCGAAACAGGCTGGGATGCTATAAACCAGCTGTGGTATAACGCTCACCACTGACGTTAGCCCTGCCTGGGAATCGAACTCAGTTAGCGCGGTTCATAACGCAGTTGCTCAAACCACCCTCATACCCGCAGTTACACATATACTATATATGTGCTCATGTAGATTTATATTTGAAACGATTTACACACACTACCTACGGTGCGAAAGAAGTTCAACATACATACACACGGTAATACACTTAATGTGTAACAATGTGTGTGTGTGCGAATGTTGTGTGTGTGTCTTTACCGAACATCTCAACCGGTTCTGGGTAACTTCTAGGTCGACTCAGCCTTAAAATAGGATCCGGTGCTGCACATCAGCACTGGAGATACAAAGGCGGTCGGGCGTCCAACTAGGTCACGCCACCCTCTCGTGCGCCGTGCTGCCCGCCAAAGGTGCTCGTGAACAGCACTTGCCCCAACAGTCGGTTTAGACTATACGGGGAATCTTTGTCTTGTTTTACGTTAAATAATATAAAGTCCGTAATGTAAGAGAGGTTCTCGCTGAGAGACAAACACTCGCCACATTTCCGCCAGGTGGCCGAGCTCTAAAAAATGTTTTAAACAAAGCCATTTCATCATATTCACAACATCCTGTTAACACGTCATAAATACACGACAATATGTTATAATAATAGTTTTTATCGTCTTAAGTATACTCATTTATTATTTTATTCTTTTCCCAACCAGAGCGGATTCGCTGCAGCAATATTTGACCATGCCACCTCCACCTCTGGGCCTCCCCTAGGTAGACTCGGCCTCAAATGAGTTACCTGATGCGGTGTGTAAACATCGCCACTGCGGGGATAAAAGGCGGCCGGGCGTGGTGCTGGCCACCCACCCCCTCGTGTGCCACAGTGCCGACCTTCACAGGTTGCTACTCGCTAACAGCACTTGCCCCAACAGTCTGTTAAGGCAACACGGGTAAAATGAGGATACGTATTTGTACATTGTTGAGTACAAAGTGTGGGCATTTTCCGGTCTACGACGGTCTTAAGACATGAATTATCACACTTGTTGTTCGTCACGGTCGTATTGCATCCATATAACAGCCTACGCGTGCATTAGCCCCACACATGCACACGTATCACACGAATGCGCACTACACAGTGAAACAAAGAAGCACCTTTCTTTCAACGCAGGTGAAGTCCCATTCTCAAAAACAGGCGTCTCTCCGCAAGGAAAACCTGTGCCGTGAAGATTTTTTTTCAACAAATACAGCAGACTCGTAAAAAAAGAGTAAAACATTTGTTTAACACGAAACACACACTGGGAAACACAACTCCTAAATATGAACACCTTCGCGATATTTCACGGCGCTATAGAGTACCCATATCGTACTAAACAGCACATACTATATTACAGATTCCATCAGTGCGTGTCCGTGTTTGGTAGCGTCGTGGCGAGCCTAGTGCGCTACGAACCCGGCCACCCGAGTTCGATTCCCGCTCACGACCAATAACAGTGAGAGCCAAAATCTAGAACCGGTCCCGGGCCTCCCCTAGCTAGACTCAGCCTTAAATTAACACCTTGCGCGGTGTGCATTCGGCATCAGCACGAGAGAGAGTGAGAGACAAAGGCGGCCGGGCGTGTTGGTCGTGCCAAGCCCATCGCAGGTGCTCGCTACAACAGAACCGCACTAATAAAACCAGCCACCACCCGACAGCCAACGAGTAAGGGTGGTCACGTAAACAGAACGTGGCCAATTCGTCGCTAGTACAGCACACCGGTGTGTTGGAGAGCCAAGCCACGACATTTACAATTTGAGTACGACGTTTCGCCAGTAATTACATCTAGCTTCATCACCAAAAAAACTCTATTATGGATGACATTGGTCGCGAAAGCCTAAGTGTTAGTCTGCTTGCAGGCTGTATAGGGGAAATATTTGTCTGCTGCCGCAAGTGTCTGTGTGTGAGAGCGTGTCTGTGTGTGTGAGAGCGTGTCTGTGTATGTGAGCGTGTCTGTGTGTGAGCCTGTCTGTGTGTGTGTGCGCGTGTCTGTGTGTGTGAGAGCGTGTCTGTATGTGTGCGCATGTCTGTGTGTGTGCGTGTCTGTGTGTGCGTGTCTGTGTGTGTGCGTTTCTGTGTGTGTGCGTTTCTGTGTGTGCGTTTCTGTGTGTGCGTGTGTCTGTGTGTGCATGTCTGTGTGTGTGCATGTCTGTGTGTGTGTGCGTGTCTGTGTGTGCGCGTGTCTGTGTGTGCGCGTGTCTGTGTGTGTGCGTGTCTGTGTGTGCGTGTGTCTGTGTGTGTGTGCATGTCTGTGTGTGTGTGAGCGAGGCCAAACGGCGCGCCAGGACGTACGGGTGTCCCTGACGCTGCTATCGGGACGTCGTCCGATTGGCGGGAGGGGATAGAAATGGGTCGACCGCAGCGAGGCCGAGCCGCCCGGATTGGGCGGCTCGGCGCGTCACTCGCAGCCCGCCCGAGACGCGACGCGTGGGCTGCGAACCTCGATCGAGCGAGTGCCGTGCGCGTGTTTTGTTCTCGCCTCGCCCCCCGTGTCCCGCACCCATCGCCCCCTCTTCCACCCCCCCCCTTTCCTCCCGCCCCTCCAATGTCGCGCCGCTTCTTAATGAGCTCCCATGCACTTTAACACGTCGGCCCGACACGGCCGAGGGCGCATTATGGGTCCCAGGGCAGCCAGATGAGTGCCGTGGCGTTCAGCAGTTCCTCTTGCTCGCGTCTGCGCGTATATGTCGCTGACACACGGAGACGGGGAGAGCAAGAGCCAGCTTGCTTCGTCGCGTATATATTTATTATTATTTTGTGTCCGCCGGTGTTGGATTGTTGTTTTTGTGTCTGGCTTGGAGTGCTCGTCGCTGCTTTGGAGATTCTGCGTGGAAGAGCTCGAGGCTGAGGGTCGTCGGGGCTGCGTCCGGATATGGGCGATCAACGACATGCAGGCGCTGTTAAAGTGGCTGCGAAGACATCCTTCAGCATTGACAGCCTATTGCTCGAAGCGGTGCAGCGCGGATACCATCGTGGCGGCGGCGGCAGTGACAGCAGCAGCAGCAGCATCATCATCAACAGCAGCGGCAGCAGCGGCGGCGTCGTCAGGAGTGGGGACGGGGAACCGGCTGGGAACGCCGGTGGCACCACGGGCGTGGAGGAGGTGGTGGAGGAGGTGGAGGAGGAGGAGGAGAGAGCCCGCGGCACCGCGCGGCGCGATAGCTGCGGCGGCGAGAAGAGGGGGAACGCCGACGCGAACGGTGCGGAGGGATGCGATGAAGTGGACGACGAAAGATCGTCCTGCCCCCGGCACGAGAAGAGCAACAACAACAGCAACAACAACAGCAGCAACAGCAAGCACGAGAAGCCGCCCTTCAGCTACAACGCGCTCATCATGATGGCCATCAGGCAGAGCCCCGAGAAGCGTCTCACGCTGAACGGAATCTACGAGTTCATCATGACCAACTTCCCCTACTACCGCGAGAACAAGCAGGGCTGGCAGAACTCCATTCGGCACAACCTGAGCCTCAACAAGTGCTTCGTGAAGGTGCCGCGTCACTACGACGACCCGGGCAAGGGCAACTACTGGATGCTCGACCCGTGCAGCGACGACGTCTTCATCGGAGGCACCACGGGCAAGCTGCGCCGGAGATCGGGCGCGTCCCGGGGCAAGCTCGCTTTCCGCCGAGGCCCTCTCTTCGCCTCGGCCGGACTGGCGCTTATGGAGAGAGCGGCCTCGATTTTCTGGCCCATCATGCCCCCTCCGCCTCCTCCGCCGCCTCCGCCGCATCATCCCCATCATCATCATCATCCTCACCCGTCCATTCATCCCCACCTGCATAATCATCACCAGCAGCAGCTTCAGCAACAGCACGGGCTGCATTACAGCGCAGCCCAGACGTTCCACTGCCCTCCGCATGCAAGCGCAGCGGCAGGGCTGTACGCGCCGCTGCTGTGCCACGCGACCTTGGGAGGTCCTCCACTGGCGCTCGCGGGATCCTGCGGTGGCTTTTTACAGCTTGCCGACGGGCTTAGAGGCTTTCGGGACTTACCGTTCCATCACCATCATCACCAGCAGCAGCAACTTACCGCGACCGCGTTTGCAGCTCTGACTGGCCGACACGGTGGGAAGGCGACGACTGAATCTCAGCAGCATAGTCAAGTGGATGGGTCAAGCTCCACGGTGGAGCCGTGCGTGGGCGCGAGCATTGTCGCGGCCATCCCACCAGCACTCTCAGCCTTCTACCCGCGCGTGGCATCCGCCTACGCCTCCTTGCATTGACCGCGCAGCGTGCTGATGATCGCTAAGGTTTCTGAAACCACGTGTACATAGACGACACCGTGCTTTACCGATAATCAAACAAAATGCAACGACGCGATCTCAAGACTGTAAGTTCTTGTTTTTTTGTTGTTTATTCGTTTTCAAAGTAATCCGCACGCTCGACTCACTTGCGCGCCCAGATAATATAGCTGTATGATTTCATTGATGATGGAACGCGTCTATCAAATTATGCCGGCTCATGTGTATATAGCTAAGATATTATAGAGGAAATGTGAATTTGTGTAAATGTGCAATAAGTCATTGTTTTCCACGGCATACACGATACACTAATCTCAGTAGTAATGCACGGTACTCTCAAAGTCAACTTAAAGGAACACGTGCACAATGTGAATGGCTTGTAAATACAAACTGTATATAACGTTTCTGGCGTACTTTGTATGCCCTTAGGATGTAAACTTGCAGCGTTTTTTGAATATATAAATTACATTTGTTTTAAAACTTTTACGAACAAGTGTTTTATTTTCGTTGTTTGATGTAAACAAAAATAGTTAATTGTTATATTTGAGTCCACCATCTCGAAGGAAGGTACAGAATTAAGTGGCAACTATCACCCCCGGGGTGTGTGCGTTTAATTAATTAGATTGCCGTAGAAGATTGTCGTACAATCTAATGCTGATGAGAGTGACAATTGTACACACCACGTATATACATAGTGGCCCAAGAGTCAGGACACATAGGGTTACTTCATTTATTTTAACACCTGCATAAACACTTTTTAACTATTGATTATTTAAATTAATATTGATCGATTATCATTATCAATATTTATTTATTTATTCTTCATTTTCATATGACAATTAAAAATGGAGAGAGCATTGACTGAATTGAGACACAACATAATCGATTAATGTTACACATGTAATATTTTGGGTTTTTCTAAAGGTCATGAATTAATGTAAAAGATCATTAATGCGTACATTCATGTTAATGGGAGTAGTTTGAACATTTGTTAAAATAAATGTAATTAACCCGATGTGTCCTGAATTCTGGGGCACCCCGATATATTCGTGTGATTTGTGATACTGCTTTGGTAGTTTTGCACGAGGAAACATAAATAATAGGCGACGTTTCAGGCAATTACCCTAATAAGTACATATGTTGAACTTCCTTCGCACTGTACTAACCAACCGTGCTAATCGGAGGTGCTATCACTAAGGGTAGAGAGATGGTGCTACGTTCCTTCTTCATATGTTCTCTCTGATATGAATGAGGTGCCAATAACCCCGAATCTGTCGCATATTATATATCTGTTTAATTTTAGAGCGGGCCCTATTGACGTAGTGCACATCTTAGCACCGCTGGGCGCACACGCCAGAGTGTATGCTACGGTTTCATCGGGTTTTGTTTTGTTTTTGAACATCACAATTGCCGACATTAAACACGCTACGTAAACACGCTACGGCTACATATATATGTTAAAGGACCACGCGAGATGTTTTCACGGCAACACTGGAGGAGCTCTCTCTGTGTTTCTTAGCACGCGGCATTGCACGGCTTATGCGGCAGAGTAGCGGCCACACACACACTGGGGATAGCGTCGTCTCGCTTTTTTTTTCTGGAAAGATTCACATTTGATGTGTGTGTCTGTCTCTCTCTCTCTCTGCCAGTGATAAACAAGCCCCCCCCCACCCCCCGCAATAAGTTAACCCACGCTCAGGCAATCCCGTGCTCAACCTGAGACACGTGTTGTGACCATAATGTCGGTTGTTGTCCAGGCTTGGTTATTTATGGTGGTGGTGGCATTTTCATAAGGGGAGGAGGGGGGGAAGGGCTTCTCTCTAAAATGTTGGTCATATAATTTTGTTCTCTCTCTCTCAGTGTTATGGTAAAGGCGATCGGGTCCCTCCCGTCGTCAAGAGGGAGCGCTCTTAATCATTTTCATGCGTTAAGGGGAAGTGTCGCAATCGTTAGCTCTTTTGCCGCTCGACGAATCCACCAACCTGAAGTTCAATTCCCGGCTACGGCTAACGTCAGTGGCGAGCGATGTCTGAACTAGAGGCGGACAACTCCCTCCACACCGGCACTCACAATCGTGGTGAATGTATGTGCCATGAAGGTTCATTGCCCGAAACGTCGCCTATTATATTAATGTACTTTTAAGGCCGCAGTATTGTTGACGAATGGCTTGAGTGCCGTCGTGAAGAATGAATGGTTAAATAAACCCCCGTGACTGGCACTACGTGGGGAAGCCTTAATCTAGCAGTGGATTGACAAAGGCTGTACACACACACACAATGTGCATTGCTCACCAATGTGGCTTTCTCTCGGTGTACAGTTTTGTTTTTGCCAGTTTAGAGACAATCATTGAATATCAGCCCAGACCGGCTATTTCAGCCTACGAAATGACATTTTTTTTGTACGGAAGTGGATATATACGTACGCGCATTATAAATATATGCATTTAAATACTAAATTAATGCGTGTATAGTATGCAGAAATCCAGATAAACACTTACATACGTATATTTATGCATACCAATAAATACTTGGGATACTCGGTGACGTAACATGTAGGCCCTGAGCCCATGCACGGGTACAGTGAGGGAAAAACGTATTTAATCCCCTGGTGATTTTGTACGTTTGCAAACTGACAAAAAATGATCAGTCTATAATTTTAATGGTAGGTTTATTTGAACAGTGAGAGACAGAATAACAACAAAAATCCAGAAAAACGCATGTCAAAAATGTTATAAATTGATTTGCATTTTAATAAGGGAAATAAGTATTTGACCCCTCTGCAAAACATGACTTAGTACTTGGTGGCAAAACCCTTGTTGGCAATCACAGAGGTCAGACGTTTCTTGTAGTTGGCCACCAGGTTTGCACACATCTCAGGAGGGATTTTGTCCCACTCCTTTTTGCAGATCTTCTCCAAGTCATTAAGGCTTCGAGGCTGACGTTTGGCAACTCGAACCTTCAGCTCCCTCCACAGATTTTCTATGGGATTAAGGTCTGGAGACTGGCTAGGCCACTCCAGGACCTTAATGTGCTTCTTCTTGAGCCACTCCTTTGTTGCCTTGGCCGTGAGTTTTGGGTCATTATCATCCTGGAATACCCATCCACGACCCATTTTCAATACCCTGGCTGAGGGAAGGAGGTTCTCACCCAAGATTTGACGGTACATGGCCCCGTCCATCGTTTCTTTGATGCGGTGAAGTTGTCCTGTGCCCTTAGCAGAAAAACACCCCCAAAGTATAATGTTTCCACCTCCATGTTTGACGGTGGGGATGGTGTTCTTGGGGTCATAGGCAGCATTCCTCCTCCTCCAAACACGTTGAGTTGATGCCAAAGAGCTCCATTTTGGTCTCATCTGACCACAACACTTTCACCCAGTTGTCCTCTGAATCATTCAGATGTTCATTGGCAAACTTCAGACGGACATATATATGTGCTTTCTTGAGCAGGGGGACCTTGTGGGCGCTGCAGTATTTCAGTCCATCACGGCATAGTGTGTTACCAATTGTTTTCTTGGTGACTATGGTCCCAGCTGCCTTGAGATCATTGACAAGATCCTCCCGTGTAGTTCTGGGCTGATTCCTCACCGTTCTCATGATCATTGCAACTCCACGAGGTGAGATCTTGCATGGAGCCCCAGGCCGAGGGAGATTGACAGTTATTTTGTGTTTCTTCCATTTGCGAATAATCGCACCAACTGTTGTCACCTTCTCACCAAGCTGCTTGGCAATGGTCTTGCAGCCCATTCCAGCCTTGTGTAGGTCTACAATCTTGTCCCTGACATCCTTGGAGAGCTCTTTGGTCTTGGCCATGGTGGAGAGTTTGGAATCTGATTGATTGCTTCTGTGGACAGGTGTCTTTTATACAGGTAACAAGCTGAGATTAGGAGCACTCCTTTTAAGAGTGTGCTCTTAATCTCAGCTCGTTACCTGTATAAAAGACACCTGGGAGCCAGAAACTTTCTGATTGAGAGGGGGTCATGAACTTATTTCCCTCATTAAAATGCAAATCAATTTTTGACATGCGTTTTTCTGGATTTTGTTGTTGTTACTCTGTCTCTCACTGTTCAAATAAACCTACCATTAAAATTATAGACTGATCATTTCTTCGTCAGTGGGCAAACGTACAAAATCAGCAGATCATCAAATACTTTTTTCCCTCACTGTATACGTCTCGTTTGCGCTGCAGAGAAAATCGCGTACATCAGTTCCAACGCATGGCATCTGCTTCGGACAATAGGATGGCTACGGTGTAGGGCGAGTGCTCACGGCAATGTACAGCCCTTTGCCAATCCACTCCCGCGTGTCGTGTGAGCCTTCGACGAAGCCAATTATCGTATTTGTATACGTATCCACTATTTCAAATGTCTTCATCTGAGGACACATTTAACGCAGGGCCTACACAAGAACGTGCGACGAGCGTGCGTAATGTAAAAAGCACGCCCTGGCATATACACGGACATGGCCATACCACGAATAGATGACCACTTCGTAGAGTGGAGAGAGCTATTTCATGATATCTGCTTCTGCAAGCCTACCCGTGTAGTTTACATCCATCCCTCTGTCAATCAACTGTTGGATGTTTTCAACAATGTATACCTGTAAAAAATAAATGCCATTAATTAAAATTAAAAGTTCCAGCCATTTCAAAACTAAAACGAAACTATTAAAACTATTTTCATCATTCGCCAGATAAAATAACACCAATCGACGAAAGCTTTCCTAAGCCGTGTTGGTCATGGGGTTTCTTTGACCATACTTCCCTGCGCTGGTTGTTGCTGGTTGTTGACGTTACAGGGTGGTCAGGCGAGCGCGGCGATGTGGGGGTGGGGTTAGGACCTGTTCAGATGCCACTCGCCACCGATGTTGGACGTGACCGGGAATCCAACTCCGGACGGCGGATTCATAGCGAAACGCGCTAACCACGGCGCCACCGCTCGATTCCACGTACGCACGTGCAGTATAGGCATTTTATATAACCGTGCTACACCGCTTATACGCGTATAAAATATACACTTTATAACGTATATGCGGCTCCCTACGTACACACAATGAACGCACGTGCGTGTCCACGTTGCTATAGGTATAACGACTCGGCCTATATGATTATAGACGCTGTTCACGACTTGTTATGTTAAAGGTTTAATCATCATAGCAGCAGCAGCTCCCACCGCTTGTTGCGGCACTAAAACTCGGCTTTAATGGAGGGATAGAAAATTGGCGATTTGTCGGTGACTGGTCGGTTGGACGTTCGGAATGTTTCTCGTGGCGTCTTTAACTCGCTCACGAGAGGTCTAGGAGATGTTAACTTCCTCGCCTCGCATACAGGAGGTCGTGGGTGTCGATCCCGACCCTGACGCCTGTATACTCGGAGTTTGCGTGTCTCTCTCGCCATGTTCGCGTGGATTTTTCTCCTAGTCTTCCGGTTTTTTTCCCACCCCCTCCCCTTCCACAATTAGTGAACGTATTTGGCTGCTGTACATTTCCATTTTGACAAGCCACTTTGTTGAGCTATCATTTGTGGCCAGGTCGCGCCTGATAAAGAGCTATGTAGCTCAGTCGGCCTTACTTGGTCAAATACAATCGTTTTGTAGTTTAGTTGTATGGACTCACCGCCAGTCGCTGTACGCGAGACAGACAGTCCTACAGCAGTTTGCCTCGAGACGTAAATATTCTGTACCGCTTACAAATTGCTTACGAAGCAACGACATACAGTGCATTCGGGACGGAGAGGCCTTGTTATTGTGAAACTGAAAACACTACAGGTGGCAGGTGTTCATCATTTTAAAATGCCTGTGCGTTCGCGTCACATTGCCGCGACAGTTTTTTTTTTACAAGCGAATGAGCAGAATTCCATTCGGTGCCTCCACATATATAACAACAATAACAACAACAAAAGCGAAGTTACAGTCCATCCGCCGATTGGCTTTCCAGACCAAAGTCATTAAGCAGCATTTGTTTAAGCAAGGCAAACTCTGTACCCGGTTTCGACATTCTGAGTCTCTTCAGCAGGGCCCGACCTTGTTGATATAAACATTTGCACGATGTATCCTCGGTATGTACACTATGCTCATATCGTTGGCTACTGCCCGAGTCGGTACAACAAAATTTCAACAAGTTTATTTCGCGAGGAAATGAAAAAATGCTCATATAAGTGGATCCATTATCAAATATGGCGACAAAGCGCCCTCCCACCGAGTTGCACGTATGCTGCACGTGTGTGCGTGCGCGTGTGTGCGTGTTGAACTTCTTTCGCACCGTACGTGGCCAACCGTGCTCATCGGAAGTGCGGGAGCAAATATATGCAAAGAGCGGCAGGCCGGGTGCCTTAATATGTTTTGTGAAAAGTATCTAATAATTATTTTTGCTTTAACTTCGTGCATTTTAACCCGGTCACTCGGGAAAGGAGTGTTTGATCAAATAGGAAGGGACGAAGGACAATAACGAGGTATCGATTGCAACCGTGTTGCCCCAAAAGGGACCTTTCGTGCATAATTGATATCCATTACAAAACCTGTCCACGATGTGCTGATGATCCCGAAGGTTTTTAAAACCGGCGCGGATCATCGCATTCGCGATTGATCAATTTCAAAATGTAATTTGGTCACAAGATGGA